TAATTAATTTTAAGTATTTTAGTCAAATTTATAATTAAGATAATAATATATTTAGTCAAACCTCATATTCAATTCTAGTCAATCATAGTATATTGATTTATGATAATCAATAAAAGAGTTCTTTAAATTTTGAGGTTTTACTTAAAAAACATATAAATAGACCTTTTGATGAGGATCAATAAACTATTACAAAAAACAAAAATTCTCTTTCTCAAAAGAATCAATAGTGAAAATAGTACAATGGATATCTTTAAAACATTTGTAACTATTATTCTTTTAGTAATATTGACTATTTCGTTTTCTAACAACAATATTTTGGCAAAAACTGGTTAGTTTTGTTTTTCTATTTGTTCTATTTGTCTTTGTTCAATTGACCGAGAATTATTGAAATATATTTTTTTTAATTAAAAGAAGTTTAGTTTTCTAGTTGTTTTATCTTACATATATATAAACTTGGGTTTGTCTATTTTCAGCGAACCAGGAAACTTATCGTTGCATTGAGCATTGTCTACAAGTTTACGGAAATATGAAATGTGATATGGACTGTAAAAAACAACATTATATTGGAGGTGGTTGTGATTATCTCATAAAAGGTCCAAAAACACCATTATGATGTTGCTTCAATGCTACATATCCGTTAACCCCAATTTGAGTATTGTATTATGCTATTTAAATGCAGTAATATATCTACTAATTACTATTGTGTCAAAATTGTAAGCTCTTTAATAATAATAATAATAATAATAATAATAATAATAATAATAATAATAATCATAATAATAATAATAATAAAACTAAAATTAATATAATTTTTTTTAAAAAAATGTATGTTTCCTAAAGCTTGGTTCTACATTTGGATGTGTGTTTCTTAACTCATCTTGTTGCTCAGAAATGAGATAAACTCTGGTTTTATGATTCTCATAAATTTCCTAATAAGTGAATTATATTTTGTCTTTATTATGGAGGGATTTTAGGAAGTTTGTTAAATGTGATTAGTTTTATTTTTCTAAATATAATAATTAATACCAATGGCATAGCCTTGTAACTTCCAACTCCAAGGTTTTTTTCAAAAATTTCTGCAAAAATGTTAATGTAGATTTTTTTTACGAATTATATTATCTGTTTCATTCATGGTCATTTTTATCATTGATTCATTTCAATACAAAATAAATATTTGTAGTCAAATTTGTAATTAAGCTAGATGGTAAATTTAGTCGAACCTCATACTTAAATTGTACTTAATATTAATAAATATATAATATTGATTTATGGTAATAACAAATAAAAGACTAGTTGAAATTTGAATTTTTAGTTAAGAAAAAAACCCATATAGATAGAGCTTATGATAAAGATCTATAAACTATTACAAAAAAAAAATAGAGAAATATTTTTCTCAAACGAATTAATAGGTGAAAGAAATGGTACAATGGATATCCCAAAAACATTTATGACTATATAGAATTAATATTGGAAATTTTGTTTTCTAGCAACAACATTTTGGACCCATAAATGGTTAGTTTTTTTGAATTTTTTCTTCTTGTCTTTGTTCAACTGAAGAGAATTGTTGAAATCTTTTTTCTTTTTTTTTTGTCAACAGCTTTTATAAATGGACTCAATTGAGCCAAGAGTTAGGAACATTGTTTACATAGAGACAAAGTAGCGGTTCAACACGCGCTCGGCGTGCCAACTTATCCGCTTGAATATTAGAGCAACGAGAGATTTTCGCTAAAGAGAAAGAAATAAACACTTCCCTGTCTGCTTGGATCTCCTTAAGGTATGTCGCGAACGCAGGCCATTCTGTTGGGGAAGACACCATCTCCACCAAATCTGAGCAGTCTGTTATAAAAGTCACTTCTCTACGGGATGCATCAATCATACACTTCATCGCCCACACCAGTGCTTCTACTTCTGTGTGTAAAGGAGATAGACTTCGTCGTAGATTTGCCGCGCCCATAGTAGATGGTCCGCCCGAGGAGGTGCAAAACCAGCCCAAACCTGCAAATTTATCATCATCTTTCCAAGAGCATCAATAAAACATGTATCTCCACAATCCCTGACCACTGAAACTTCTCCTGGGAAAGTAGACTGCCGTGGTGGGCCTTTATTATCCATAATTGCACCCTCCGCTTGGGCCGTTACCCATAACCCAGCTTCACTTACAGCTTGACGTAAGACATCCCTCACATCCCTATCTACATTATCAAAAACCTTTTCATTCCTTGCCTTCCAAATATACCACAATATCCAAGGAAAGATAGAGATATCCACTCCTTTGGGTGTCCGCCAAAATAAATAGTCCATATTCGCATAAATCGAGTCAGATGGGAAAACCCCAATTGCCGACGGCACTGGCGATAGTGCCCATACTTGCAATGCTGGTGGGCATTGAAATAGTGTATGATTTACCGACTCCAACTCCCCACATCTACTGCAGCTTGGATCACAATTCAAACCTCTACTTGCTAAATTTTTATTTACCGAAATACAGCCAGAAATCACCTGCCACATAAAATGTCGTAATTTAGGTGGACAATAAACTTTCCATACAAAAGCCTGTAACTTAGATATATCCGGACCAAAACGGGTATCAGACCTAGTTTTCTGAGATTGCTCTCTACCAGTATAATACCCAGACTTAACCGTATATTTGCCCGTTTTGGTGAAATGCCAAAACATTGAATCTGAATCTTGCGGAAACCGTAACGGGATTGCACTTATTAAGGAGACATCCTCTGGGATGAACAAGGCTTGAAGCATTGTAATCTTCCAAGAACATGTCTGGGAATCGATCAACGAATTGACATTTAGATTTAAGACCGATTCATCAAATGAATCGGTACGAAGGGCTGGCCTCGGGAATTGAGCAGGTATCCATGGATCTTCCCAAACTGAAATGGTTTCTCCATTACCTACTCTTTTAATAAGTCCTTTACTAACCAGAGGTCGAGCTGAGACGATACTTCTCCATCCATAAGATGGAGAATATGATTTAATCATTCCCATTGGGTCTGATTTCCGATAATATCTTCCTTTAAAAACCTTGGCAAACAAACAATCTGGGACACTTATCAAGCGCCAGAGTTGCTTAGCCAGCAATGCCGTATTGAATTCCTCGATATGCCGGAATCCCAGCCCTCCAGCAGATTTACTAGTACATACTTTTTCCCATGCCAACCAATGCATCCCTCCAGATAGACCATTTGAGCTCCACCAATATTTAGCAACCGCACAGGTAAGCTTATTCGTCACTGTCTTGGGTAGTCGGAAACAAGACATTACATAAGTAGGCAGTGCTGCTGCTACCGATTTAATCATCACTTCCTTACCACCTTTTGACAAGAACTTTGCTGTCCAGCCATTTATCCTCGTTTGAAGTCTATCCTGAACAAACGCAAAAACTTTCGTTTTTGACCCTCCCAAGCTTTCTGGTAATCCCAAGTAGGATCCCATGCCACCCAAATTTGTGATCCCTAGAACTGCCATCAGTTCCGTTTTTAAACCATTATCAACCGTGTGCCCGAACTGAATTGAAGATTTTTGAAAATTGATTTGTTGGCCCGAAACCTTCTCATACAGCTTTAATATCCGTAGAATCACCTCACATTGGTCCTGTTTCGCCTGACAGAAAAACAAACTATCATCCGCAAATAACAGATGTGAAATAACAGATGTTGAAATCTTTTTTCTTATATAAAATAATTTTAAGCATTTTAGTCAAATTTATAATTAAGATAGATAATATATTTAATTAGTCAAAGCTCATATTAAATTCTAGTCAATCATAGAATATTGATATGTAATAATGAAAAAATGAGTTGTTGAAATTTGAGATTTTACTTAAGGACAAAAAACATATAAATAGAGCTTCTAATGAAAATCTATAAACTATTAAAAAGGATTCTTTTCCCTTAAAATTATTAATAGTGATAATAGTACAATGGATATCCTGAAAACATTTGTCACTATTTTCCTTGTAGTAATATTGACAATTTCGTTTTCTCACAACAACATTTTGGCAAAATCTGGTTAGTTTTTTCTTTTTGTCTATTTGTCTTTGTTCAATCGACCGAGAATTGTTGAAATATTTTTTCTGAAATAAAAAGAATATAAGTATTTTAGTTGTTAGTTTTTTTTATCTTACTTATATATATAAAACTTGGGTTTGTCTATTTTCAGTGGACCAGCAAATTTATCGTTGCATTGATCACTGTCCGCAATTTTATGGAAATAGGAAATGTTACATGGACTGTAGAAAACAATATTACGATGGAGGACAATGCGATTATATCATAAAAGGTCCAACAACACCACTATGTTGTTGCTACAATTATACCATTGCTTTATCCCCAAATTGAGTAATATACTATGCTTTGTTACCTACCTGTTTATGTCTTGACTTGTAGTCATCTATACCCTAATCATTATTGTTTCAAAATTGTAAACAAACTTTACTCAACCAGATTCAATTAGAAATAATAAATTAAAATCAATTTAAGAATTTTTTTTTTAAAATGTATGTTTCCTAAAGCTTGGTTCTACGATTGGATGTGTTTCTTAACTCATCTTGTTGCTCAGAAATGAGATAAACTCTTGTTTTATGATTCTAAATTTCCTAATAACTTGAATATCATAATCTCATAACAAAAAAAAACATAAGAGACAAGTTTGAGATGAAAATAGGAAAATTCATAGTAAAGGGTATTTAAGTGCAAATGATATGGGTTGAAGGGTGTTTCTAAATAATATAATTGATAGATTTGACCTAACATTCATTTAATATTGGGATAGACTTAACATTAGCATAAGCCCAAAATGGACAATTTAACAAATCAAACATTCATATAATTTTCAAACACAAATTTCTATTAAAAATCCCATATTAGCTCAAAACATTTAACACATCAACTCTAGTGTTTTTGCTATCTTCTTGACACTTTACCATCGATGATTACACTTTTATCATCCTTGTTTCTTCTATCTCAATTGCAAACGAGATCTTCATGGATTATGGTGATGATAAGAAGAGAACCAGAAAACCGTTCGGTTATTGGTTGCCGAACCGAATCGATCTAAAGACCAAAATCCCAAAATATTTTCACCGGTCAGTTCCCTTCATCCTACATTTCCGCACCAATATAAAAAAAAACTCGAGTTTTCCGCTTTGTTTTTTGCCAAATTGTCTAGGCCAAAACTTAAGCATCAGTTCTAACAACATTATTTCAAGAACTAAAAATCCTAACACATGCCATGACAAAAAAATATGAACACCAAATGAATGCCTAGATTATCCTCCTTCTCATCGTCATGATCCCACTGTCATACTTTGTCTTTAGTGAGGCAATCCTCTTATCAATTGAGTTATACACACAAGCGATAAGACAAACAAAAGCAAACCTTGCATCAAACAAACACATCAGTTGCCTGCTGAGGACTAGTGTCTGTTGACACTCGCACTCAACAACTCCAGCACACCTGTCAGTGTCGATTGGTACCCTCCCTTGGTGTTGATTATCACCCCCAACCATCCTCACGACAAAGGTCATTAAACACCCAGTCGCTCCAATCAATTCTCCTCGATGGATCTACTTTTCCAGCCTCCCCATACACGATTAAGACTCTCATAAGATCCAAACAAAGCCATTGTATCACAGAAACAACCACACAAGCAAATGAATCAAACCACACAATCATAGAAACACACAAACAAGGATCAAACCGCTAAGATAAGCCATCATCATGCACTCACCTATGAAATAATAGGATTATGACCAACCACGTCTGATAATCATACCACAACAACTTTTACCCATGAATCTAGCCTTATAATTCCACTTATAGGCTCAGATCTCTCAAGAACAACCACCAAACTCTTATGAGAACGACAAAGTGGCTGCTAAAACACACTAGGGCGTCGAGTTTTTCCTTTTAAACGAGCCATTGGGTTTAGCCAAATCAAGCCAAGCCAACTGCAGAATCAGAAATCAAACCGAACAACCCGAAAACTTTTCGTATCGAGCGACACCTACCATTTGTGATATGATAATGGACCAGCAACTTGAACCTTAAGAGAATGGAGTTAAGGAGCAGCTTAAACCCAAGGAGAATGGAGCTACATAAGAAGCAACATTGCACATTCCGATTGGCCCGATGATGAGGTCTAAGACAAAGCGACTAAACCAAGCTATCATCATGCTTCTACACAAGATTGAGGGAAATATTAATCATGAAGCTTATCCAACTAATTTGGTTGTGATTTAAATTGATTAAGCAACATCAATGGAGGTGTGGGACTTTCACTCTTTTTCCCTCCTCTTGGTTTTGTCCCAATGGGTTTTCCAATAGAGGTTTTTAATGAGACAAGTGCACACACTCTTTCACAAGCCCATTGTTGTGTCTTTGCCAATGAGCGACGTTTTTATGAAGGGGAAGAGTCATTTTTATTCAAACTCTAGCTAGTTTTAATTCTCTTGTCATTTTGAGTGTTTTTAATGTTGTTTCAAAACTTGGTGTCTTTGTTTCCAAAATAGCTTCTTTTCTTCTTTATATACTATTTGTAATCTCTTATGATAACTCATAAAAAAATTTTAAATCAAAATCTCTTTCCAAAATGTTTGATCTGAAGGGTGTGTAATATCTCTTCGTCTTGTGAGCGTTTGGTGTGTCATATCCAAGCCTAAGGAAGTTCGTTAGTTCAGTGGTCTTGCCGAAACCATTAAAAGTTACAATCGATCCACAAGACATTGACAGTCCGTTTTTATCATCATCATTCTCCTACGGATTCCTTCTATCACCATATCACCCTCATTTGTCTTGTTATTCACGAATCTTCTTTCGTTCATTCACAATCCATACAAAGGATCACCCTCATTTGTCTTGTTATTCACGGATCTTCCTTCGTTCATTCACAATCCATACAAAGGGATTGGATCTTTTAAACGAGGATCATATTACTTGGTGTAGATTGACACCCACACCAAACTTTTGATTAAGATTAATAAACTTAAAATAAAAATCAGTTTCTCAAAATAATTCATAGTGAAAGAAATAGTACAATGGATATCCCAAAAACGCTTATGATTATTTTTCTTGTAGTAATATTCCCAATTTTGTTTTCAAACAACAACATTTTGGCAAAAACTGGTTTTTTTTTTTTGTCTGTTCTATTTGTCTTTGTTCAGTTGAAGAGAATTTTTGAAATCTTTGTTCTTAAATAAAATAATTTAAAGTATTTTAGTTAAATTTATAATTAAGATACTAAAATATTTAGTCAAACCTCATATTCAATTCTAGTCAATCATAGTATATTGATTTATAATCATCAATAAAAGAGTTGATTAAATTTTGAGGTTTTACTTAGGGGGGTGTATTCAATCTTGTATTTTGTGTGATTTGAGTTTCATTAAGTTTTTATATGATTTTGATGGTTTTGGGTGACTTTAAGGGGGGTGTATTCAATCTAACATTTTAAGTGATTTGTGGAAAACCAACAAATACAATGTTATTGAATCATTAATTTTAAAAAATCTTATGAAATCCATTGTTATTGAAGTAGTGATTTGAAAATCTAATTTAAAATCTTCTGAAATCCAATGTTATTGAAATAGTGATTTGAAAATCTAGTTTAAAATCCACTGTTATTGGAAATGTTTTGAGGATTTGGTTTTTAAATTTTTAAAGGATTCTACAGGATTTTGGAGGATTCTTTTAGTTATAAATTCAGAAATCCAAATCTCATGGTTTTAGATGATATTTGAAAGGATTTTTAAAATAAATCATATCAATTTACTTAGGGGGGGTGTATTCAATCTTGTATTTTGTGTGATTTGAGTTTCATTTAGTTTTTATATGATTTTGATGGTTTTGGGTGACTTTAAGTAAGTTGATATGATTTATTTTAAAATCCTTTCAAATATCATCTAAAACCATGAGATTTGGATTTCTGAATTTATAACTAAAAGAATCCTCCAAAATCCTGTAGAATCCTTTAAAATTTTAAAAACCAAATCCTCAAAAACATTTCCAATAACAGTGGATTTTAAACTAGATTTTCAAATCACTAGTTCAATAACATTGGATTTCAGAAGATTTTAAATTAGATTTTCAAATCACTACTTCAATAACAATGGATTTCAGAAGATTTTTTGAAATTCATGATTCAATGATTTGTTGGTTTTCCACAAATCACTTAAAATGTTAGATTGAATACCCCCCCCCCCCCCTTAATGACCAAAAAACATATAAATAGACCTTTTGATGAGGATCTAGAAACTATTACAAAAAAAAAAAAAAAATTCTTTCTCAAAAGAAGCAATAGTGAAAATAGTACAATGAATATCTTTAAAAAATTTGTGGCTGTTGTCCTTTTAGTAATATTGACAATTTCGTTTTCTAACAACAACATTTTGGCAGAAACTGGTTAGTTTTATTTTCTATTAATTTTACCTGTCTTTATTCAATTGACCGAGAATTATTGAAATATGTTTTTCTGAAATAAAAGAAGTTAAGTATTCTAGTTGTTTTATCTTACATATATTTAAACTTTGGTCTGTCTACTTTCAGTGAACCAGAAACTTATCCTTGCATTGGGCATTGTCTAAAAGTTTACGGAAATATGAAATGTGATACGGACTGTAAAAAACAACATTATATTGGAGGTGGTTGTGATTATCTCAAAAGAGGTCCAAAAACGCCATTATGTTGTTGCTTCAAAGCTACATAACCGTTATCCCCAAATTGAGTATTGTATTATGCTATTTAACAGCAGTAATATATATACTACTTATTATTGTGTCAAAATTGTAAGCTCTTTAATAATAAACTAAAATCAATATAAATTTTTTAAAATAAATGTATGTTTCCTAAAGCTTGGTTCTACATTTGGATGAGTGTTTATTAACTCATCTTGTTGCTCAGAAATGTGATAAACTCTTGTTTTATGATTCTCATAAATTTCCTAATAACTTGAATATCAGAATCTCATAACAAAAAACAAAAAACAAAAGAAACAGGTTTGAGATGGAAATAGGAAGATTCATTGTAAAGGGTATTGAAGTGCGGAGGATATGGCTTGAAGAAACAGAGGATGCACATCTTCACCAGAGAACACCTCCGACTCCAACTTCTCCATGTGAGGCCATATCTGCGCGACATTGAGAAACAAAGTCAGATTCAATCTAAAAGATCTTACAACAACATCCAACTCTCTTAGCTATTTGTTTACCTCGTTTGCATATTGCCTTGTAAACGCCGTGAGATAGCCAAGTGTTGATAAGCACCACTGTTCTCTCTCACCGATTTCGCAACTCTTCTTTGGGTTTCCATTCTCAGTGTCCACCTCCATCGCAGATGAGTTGTCATCTTCCGCACCTATAGATTTTAGATCCTGCACTGATCTCACTTTTGTTGAATCTGGTAGCCGTTCCTTCAACACACCTAAGAAACTTTGGAACAGCAGGAGCAGTAGAACCTATGCACAATCCAAGTCATTTAACTTCTAGCAACAAAAGGAATAAGATCCTCTCATGCATTACAAATGACTCAAACTAATATAATACCTCGGTTTCAGAGAGAGCTCTGTTAAGAAGGGCTTCTTTTGCCTCGAGAGACTCTCGAAGAGATAACTCAGCCTCCCCTGTCTTTTCCACTGTTGATTTCAAACGCTTCATTTTCGCTGGATTGTCACCAAGAACGGGCTCACCCTCCACTAGGGAAAGTTTGCTTTCAGCAGCCTCCAACTCTACTCGTGCGTTTGCTGAAGCTTTCTCAGCTACCAAAACATTTTTCGTAATGTTTGTTATTTCTTTCCTTAAATCAGAGATACGATTATAAGTCTTGTTAAGAGCATTGCCAAGTATCTGCACGGAAAAAAAAAAACAAAAAATCAGAATATAACCAAACATGCTCTGCAGAAAGTACATTAAATATTTCTGTGGAGGGTCATAACAAATAAGTTAGAACTCAACTGACCTCCCACTGCTGATCAGACACATGAAATTGATCAACATTTTCAGGAGAGAACACCCATCTAACAATTGCCTGATTAGATACTAGTCTATAACCCATCATCCTATCAATTGCCACCGCCGTCATTTGTACATTGTCTTTCCAGTATGTACTCACTTGAGATAATAGCATCACCTGTTTATCACTATCAGGACAAAGTTTTGCAAATACTTGGCCATATCGCTCCAGGACAGTGACCAGATGAGTGAAACTTTTTGATCCGATGTCAAGTAAAGTTTGTACAACTACTGAAAGAGTGACTTCAAAACCATGAACTGGATGTATCATTTCGTCAATCCACACCATCATATCACGTGCAGTTTGTTTTTCTTTGACCTTCTTACTCAATTCGGCTGACAATTTCTGTTCTTCTGTTTTCTCTTTACCCTCTTCCAGGGAATACATAAAATTCTGACCAGCCTTTGCAGGAAGCAATTCTTCTAGGGCACTTGCATTCTCAATGCTCTGTTAGACACACATAGAGGAAACAAAATAGCCTGAGAAAGGATATCTGATACGTAAGTTTAGAATGATATTTCCATGTGGAATACGAACTAGAATAAAATAAACACCCCAAGGCTAAGCGAAAGGACAGGTGATGCTTAAGTTTAGCAGCGACTAATAGCCGGATAATATATTTTTTTCGAATTTACAAAATAATTAATATATCTTTTTCAAATGGTGAAAAGCGAAAGGATAGGTGATGCTGAAATACTAATACAGTACTAACTCCCTAGCCACCAAATATTCTGCCACAATAAGACCTTACTACATCCAGTTCGGCCAAACCATTGTAAATGTGGAACAGGGACCATCTTAACATGTTCTATATTGCATCACCACCAGATCCCGTAAAAAGGTCAAGGACAAAATTAACAGCATATATATAATCAATTAGTCATGACCAAAATAAAATTCATATTCGGCAGGTGATCTGTTACCTGCTTAATTTTATCCCAGTAAGACAATCGTACTTCTCTTTGCAAAACCTCCTGAACGAATACACGCTTAGGGGCCCATTTGGGAAGATCCAAAACATAAGCCCACTCTTCCCAAGGCCAGATGAATTGGAAGTTGGATCTGTTAAGTATGAAAGTATATAGACATGAGAGTAAACAAAATTCGTAATCAACTTCATGTGATGAAGAAGTGATTTCTCAAATTGATCAACAAATCAAGACTCAAAGACGAGCATATTGTGTTACGTAAATGGATCATCATTATTTAAATTAATGCCCACAGAGAATTCATATTTTATTTTTCTATAATTCAATCATGAACTTGACTAACAAAAGCTGATAAGCTAGGTAATCTCCTATCATATATGGAATATCCACAAATATGCGACCATACAGCACCTTTCCCAGCTCACAAAAGTCCAGAGGTAAGAAAACTGAAAGTATATACTTACAAGTGGTGTGAAAACCATAGGATAAGCCGCGTCCTGGATTCCATGTCTATGTCGGAGATTTTCTCAAATAGTGCACGAACAGCACCAGCAACAACAGCAGGAAAGGCACCCGGAAGAGCCTAAAATAATTAAATATTTGGAATCAGGTAGAAAAGATTATCACACAAGGGAGTTAAAACCATCAAATGATTAGAGTAATCCTTCAGTGCTACCTTACAAAGATCCATAACCACGAGTGTATAATAAAGAGTCTTGAATGGTGGCTGTGGTAGCAGCAGTATCTGAAAAACAGCAGACCTAATTGTCATATCTGAAAACCACAGCTCTACGAATAAATTTTCTGGAATTAAATGGCATAATCTGCCAGAAAAGGTATGCTTTCATATACAATGTGAATACTCGTTAGAGAGATAAATCCCAGAATTTCTACAAGAGAACATACCTGAGAAAATAGTGTCTCTGCCATAAGATACTCATACCGAAAAGGAACAGGAAGATTAGCCATGTAGGACGCACACTCCTTCCGACTAGCTTTGCAAAAAATTAAAATCTATTAGTGTATAGAATTTAAGAAGGCAAACAAAATTTTGTAACCAGACAAAAAAAAAAAAAAAAAGAAACTCATCCCTAGCTAAGATGTAGATTATACAAGTATGTGCTAGGTAACCCGCATCAGCGATCATATCATTCGAAGAGTAAGTCTTGAGCTTAGCTTTATACACCAAAGCTAAGGTTTGAAATTCAGAAAGCACATGACTAATTTGCAATGATTGGAGGGAAAGAAAAAACCAAGTTCTACACCAAAACCAGCATGCATGGAGGTCCAATGTGCAGAAAAATATAGAAGAAACATAAGAGACATCAAAAGTACTCAAGTTTTGTGAAAATACAAACCATCCATTTAAAAAGAAGAGCACATCCAGCAAATACTCCTCCACGACAAAGCGATCAATAGGTTGCACATCCTGCGAGTTTAATAGTTACAGGATTAGAAGAAACGATAAACAAAGAAAAGGAATACAAACCGACATCATATATCCCATATATCAATCTACAAATATAATAGGGTAGAGAAAAAATTTGGCTGACTACTGAAATCGAAGCAAGTCTAATAAACTTCTATCAGCATGATAAATGTCCTACTCAAATGAACATTGACATCACAAACCAGAATATTACCTCCATTTTATTAGCTGGGAATATATTTAACCTACGAATTCTCTGGGGATATCTTGTCAATGCATCATGCTTTTGCTTGCCACTGTATGCTCTCGAATGATCAGAAGGTGGACTCGGTTGTTCCATACATTTAATAGGCCGTAGCTCATGAAACTTTCCAGCAACAAGCTGAGCTTCGAATGAGAGATGAGGCCTAGGTACTAGCACATTGAAAATGCATGAAATTTTCATCAATAGTAATATACAACTTACATCACATGTCACATAACTAATCAATTTGTTAGGCGAAACAATATAGATATAAACAGTTTGTAGACGATTGCAGTTTTCTTGATACAAAAAGAACGGAAAAGTTGACAAAATATGCATACCACTATCAAGTTTCCATCCATTGGAAGCAAGAGACTGTATTCGATCCAATAGGTCCTCCACGAAATCCTAAAGAGACCACAATCGAGAAAATCAAATCGAGGCAAACTAAAAGTAAAACCCATGCATCTTATTTATACATCTGCCAAGACATCTACTGAGATAAAATCAAGGCTAACACAAAATGAAGGCAACAACATCCAGACGTAAATACTATAAACAAACCTTCTCTGCTAGGCTGCTTTCAAATTCTCCATTGTGGAAAACGTTTAGCCCAGAGGTGGAAGAATTCTTTCGGATGCTCAAATAAGCTTGTATACCAACTAACACTCTTTCAATCTCATCAGGAACTTGCTGAAAGCCAAAGGGAAATTCAGAGGCCATATATTAAAATAATAGTTTACAGCAATACATACAGAAGCCTACCAATGGTTGCACATCCAACAAGGATGAGATCATTTATAAAAATGGAAGCACATGTCCAGTATTCTAATAACCTTCATTGTGAATAACATATTTTCCTAAAACACAGTTACCAAGATATTTTCTGGAAGGTCTTTAATCCAAGAACAGTACCTCAGCGAGTTCTGATCCTCCCCACGGGAGGCTGGACAAGATACATATGACGTAAAAGTCAGCTTGTGGCTGCCATGATGGATTTCCTTTCTCTTCATCCACAGTGGTGGCAGCTGATGATAACAATGTTTCGAACACGACAATCAAAGAAGCGGGTTGAATAACCTTACTACACAACTGAAGAACCCAAGTAAATATGTTAGAAAAATTGACAAAACATCGCAAAATTTGCACATATACTGTTCTATATACTTCACAGTTTTATTTTTCAGACTCTTTTGTGTATTTAAAACATGAACTAACGTAGCAACGATGAAAAAGGATTAGTAACCATACCAGGGAAGTCATAAATCGAAGCAATATACGGATACTGTTGCAGTTGCCAGAATTTAAAGCATCCTGGCATGTTCAACCCAGAAAAAGCAGTCACATTAGAGGCAAAAGTAACTGAGAAAACTTATTTTATCAATTTATCCTTGCCCTTGATGTACAGATTAGATTATTCACCTGGAAATTAGCTTGAACACTTTCTACTATCCTCCGAACAAAATCTTCATTCTCCAAGTTCAACAAACCAATCTTAAACATGTACAAAGACATCCATCAAAGTTTGAAGTATGTAAATTGAACTAACATATAACAGGGAACAGGATATCTCAGTTCAGCTCAAATGCTGAACGCAAAACCCAAATGCCAAAGTATGTCTTCATGAATACTTACACAGAGACAAGAATTATTTAGCCATCTCAACAAAATCCAAGAGATACACAAAATATTCCAACACTATCCTAATTATTCAGAAGTTAGAAATGTTACCCTGTGTGTTCTCTTAGATATAATAGACACAAAATGATCCACCTTAAGGTCATTTTCATTATAACTTGTGTTTTTTCTAAAGTTAAAACCTTTGGTAATTGCTTCTGAGCTAATTATTCTTTGAAAAGGATCAGTTCACAGATATCATATAAGACTCAAATCAAAACCTCTACCTAAAACAACATCTAAATGCATTCCCAACATCCCCAAACATACCCAGAAAAGAAAAAGGAATGCTTTTTTTCAAACAAGGTTCATAAAAGACTTACCAAAGTCCCATACAGAGGAATCTTATGAGGCAATTGTTCAGCACATTGCAGTAGAAACTGTTAAAGAAGAAAACATATAAACATAAATGCAAAACCCAAGTTCTGAAATACCACAAAATCGAGCAAGGAAGTCAAACTTACAGGCAAAACTTGATCTCCAGAACGCTCGATTTCTCTTCTAATAACACCAAAACAAGTCTCCTGTGTAATTACCCAGAAAAAAAGAAGGAGAAGTTGAGTAAACAACAAAATTAGGGTTTAAGAGGCGAAGGTGAGAATGGAGAAGAGTACTGACGATATGGTCTTTGTAGTCGGAGGAAGTGCCGTACTCAGGACCCTTTTCGCCGATGCGAAGGAGAAGGGTTTTCCAATTGCTCATCTTTGGTACTTGTTTCTTCGTCTTCTTCTTCAGTTCCCCCTTTGTTTCTTTTGTGTATCACTCAGCTTTTGGTCACTGCCCTAGTTTCTTATGTCTCTCTCTGTCTCGTCAAACAAGCTGCTAGTTTTTTTTTTTTCTTTTTTTTTTTTTCCAACCAAGAGTTTACATTACAAAAAGAGAAAAATATTATGGTGTAGTTAAAAAATAATAATAATAATAAAGATACTAATTACAAAAAGTAACTATAAATTGGTAAAACAAACTAAATAATTCAAGTGTTAAAAAATAGTAATCAAGCTATTATTTTTTAAAATTAATTTAAGTAAAAAAAAGAAGAGAAACAATAAATATATCATGCAATTCACGGTATTTGTCTAAATTTAGAAAAATATAATAATTTTTGGAACTTGTAAATTTTTACCCTCTTTTTAAAAAAATGTTAGATTTTAATCGGCAGTTACCTATGCTAATGTACAAGATAATTTGAAAAATTGTTTAGAATTTGGTATATCACTGCACCACAAACGCAATCACGATTGAAGCGACTTTGTAAATATTTCAAGCCTTCTCTTCTCTTTCTATGTGAAACTCTCAATAATTGTAATGTATTGCAAGACTTATCTATTGTATTAGGATTCAATAACTTACTTACTGAATCACCACAAGGCAGAAGTGGTGGTTTAGCTATTATGTGGTGTGATAATATTTCTGTAACTAAGATGTATCAAGACAATCGTTTGGTTGATGTACATATGCAATATTAACCCGTAATGCTCCTTGGATGTTAATGGGTGATTTTAATGAAATTCTTTCTAACTCGGAAAAACAAGGAGGATCACTTAGAGATGACTGGAGTTTTTGTAATTTACGTCATATGGTTTCATCGTGTGGAATAAAAGACTTGCGTTCAAAAGGTGATAAGTTTAGCTGGGTAGGAGAATGATACCATCACACAATAAAATGTTGTTTAGATCGAGTCATGGTAAATTCAGAATGGGCAGCTTCTTTTCCCAATGCTGAAGCTGCCCATTCTGAAGCAGAGTTTTTGGACTTCAATGGCTCTGACCATAAGCATGTTCTTACCACAACAAATATCACAAATCCTGCTTATAAAAAACCATTACGTTTTGATAAATGTCTTCTTGGTTTAGCAGATTTCAAACAAGCAGTTGCTGAGAGTTGGAATTATTGCAAGACAAGCTCTTTTTATTCAATTTCAGACCAAATAACTAAATGTTGTAGAGCCATGTCTCGATCTAAACATCACTCTAACATCAACTCAGCAAAACGCATCGATCATCTCAGTTTCTTCTCAATAGAGCTATGGAGAGCATGATCAAATCGCAGCGTAGATTAATTCCAAATCTACGACGACAATTAACTAAAGCTTACTTAGATGAGGAATACTACTGGAAGTTAAAGAGCCGCAATACTTGGTTACATGTCGGTGATAGAAACACTAGTTTCTTCCAAGCCAGCACTAAAATTCGTTATCCAAAAAATTATATCACAAGCATTAAGGATGATGAAGATAATATTTACAGAGGAGATACAAAAATAGGTGTTCGTGCTCAGCATTTTTTCAACAAAATTTTCTTCACTTCTAGTCATCGGGTTTCTCCGATTGATTTTGGTGATTTTAAGGCTACGGTTACTCCTGCCATCCATGAAGACATGACAAAGGAGTCTAGTAATTTTGGGATTTATAAAGCGGTGTGTACAATAGGTGATGATAAGGCCCCTGGACATGATAGTTTGACTGCAAGATTTTATAAAAGCTGCTGGGACATCATTGGTGAGGACATTGTAAAAGAGGTTAGAGAGTTTTTTGAAACTGCTTTCATGAAACCAAATATTAACCACACAAATATCTGTCTGATCCCAAATATTGATATTCCTACAACCCTCTCTGACTTCAGACCTATTGCTTTATGCAATGTTCTTTATAAGATAATTTCTAAATGACTAGTCTCAAGACTCAAAAATCATTTAAGTTTGATAGTATCTGATTCACAAGCGGCTTTCATCCTATGGCGTTTGATCACTGATAACATTCTCATTGCCCATGAAGTAATGCATTCTTTGAAATCTAGGAAAAAAGTATCTCAAAGCTATATGGCAGTTAAAACAGATGTTAGTAAAGCTTATGATAGAGTTGAGTGGGAATTCTTGGAAACAACTATGAAACTTTTTGGTTTTTCTAACACTTGGATAAACTGGATAATGGCTATGGTTAAATCAGTCAGATATTCAGTCCTAGTTAATGGATCTCCTCAAGGCCACATTGGTCTGGAACGAGGTATTCGTCAGGGGGATCCTCTTTACCCTTATTTATTCATCCCGTGTACAGATATTTTAAGTCACCTCATCACATCTAGAGCGTCAACTGGTGACTTACCATGCATTTGAATCGGAAATAGAGTTCCATCTATTACTCACTTATAGTTTGCAGATGATTCATTATTTTTTTGTCAAGCAAACAGTCATAATTGTCGAGCTCTAAAAGAAATTTTCGAAGTGTATGAGTATTACTCGGGTCAGATGATTAATACAAGTGTCGAACAGCCTTTAAATATGCGCATCCGAGGAAGGAGCCTATTCTTGCCCTAGGCCACGTGTGTGGTCGAGCGACTTACAACACAAAGTACTAAAAGACAAACTTAATAACGTTCGGAAATTTAAAAGAAAGAAGGATAGGATTCACGCGTCTTGAGTAAACGCGGGAATGCGCTAGGATTTACTGCCTCGTTAAAACCCCCTTCGGTAAAACCCATTGGGATAAAAACCGAGGTGGGAAAAAGAGTATAGTCGCTCGCTAACGACTTAAACGTCTTCACCCGATGGTGATGGTGAAGACCGTCCACAACGGCCCCTCGTCTTGGCTTGATGAATCTTCGAAGGCTAGCTTGATCGAGGCTGGATCATGGACGTACTCTTGAAGGAAAATGTTGAATTGATCTTGGGTGTTCTTCTCTATGCGCCAGCTCCTTCTCGTCGCTCCTTGGTTGATGATTGGTACCTTGGGTCGAGTCATGGAACAAGTCTGTCGAGTGTTGTCGAGCGATCCGTCGGAAACGTCGACCCGTCCGTGATTTCGTCTTGGTCGCCGTCCGGGTGTCTCTTCCGTCCGTCCGGTGCTGTCGCCGCTCGAGGTCACATCACTATATTTTGGAAAGAGTAAAACATCGGACAACTAACTGGAGTTCAAAGACGCTATCACCTGCTGGCAAAGAAATCATGCTAAAATTAGTGGCTAGGGCAATGCATGTTGATATAATGTCATGTTTTAAAATTCCTCAAGGAGTAGTTTCTCAGATCGAATATATGCTTAGGAGGTTATGGTGGGAAAAAGGTAATAATCATAATCGAGGAATTCCATGGATCGCTTGGAAGAAACTACAAAAATCGAAGAAGGAAGGAGGACTAGGGTTCAAAGATCTTACGATGTTCAATGACTCCTTACTTGCTAAACAAGCATGGCGACTACTAAGATTCCCAGATTCTTTATTTGCTTAAGTTATGAAGGCCCGTTACTATAAAGATGATCATATTCTCAATGCTACATCTAAACCATATCAATCTTTTGGATGGCAATCTATTCTCTGTGGTTTGAAAATCATTAAATCAGGTTATCAATACAATTTGGGAACATGTGAAACCATTCGCCTAAATCACGATAACTTAATTCCAACTCATCCTCCGACCCTAGTGTGTTGCATCAGATCAGACATTTTTTTAAAAATTTCAGATCTGATCTCGACTTGGGGTACATAAAAATGTTTGAACAATCAACTAATATTAGATTTAGTGCATCCAGATGATCAAACTCGGTTATCTATTATTTACATTCCTCAGTCATTCTCTTATGATAAGATAATATGGCCATATTCAACGTCGGAGAATACAATGTCAGATCAAGTTATTGGTTTATCACTCATCATCCAGATAATGTTCATAATCAAGTTATTACCCCCCATGGTTCGATCCTTTTAAAGACAAAGATATGGAAGCTGCCAATAATGCCAAAATTGAAACATTTTTTGTGGCGCCTCCTTTCTCGGGCTTTAGCTACTAATGTTAGACTTTATACTCGGGGAATGCATTTAGATCCTAATTTTCTTCATTGTGGACTTGAATTGAAGATATACATCATGTTTTTTTCGGCTGCTATTATGCTTCTCTAACCTGGCAAGATTCGACTACTCCTCTAGCTTCTTTGTACAATTCTTCCAATACTACAAAGGATCATATTCTGATATTTTGCTTCTACAACATGAGATAGGAATATCACCGGAAAATAAACTCTTTCCTATTTGGTTATTGTGGCATCTTTGAAAATCAAGAGACGATTTAACCTTTAACCAAACTCGATTTTCTTATGCTCATATAATTATGAAAGCTAAAGTTGATGTATCTGAATGGATTGTGGCTACAATGCTTGCACAACCTTCTATTGTGTTCTCTCGCACTGACTTTGTCACTATCCATGACCTGGTGTAGGCTAGTTTTCCCATTCGTTAAATGTAGTTGATGCGGCTTTTGATCCTTACACTTATAGATCTTCCTGTGGATGGATAATTCGAGACAATGAAGGTAATTCAAAGTATTGGGGATCTTCCTTACTCCCAAATTCGCTTACTCCCTTAAAGGCCGAGGCAAAAAAACTTCTAGCTGCAATGCAACAAGTATGGATGAAAGGCTACCGTCAAATATACTTCAAAAGTGATTGCTCTGATCTTATTGATACACTTAATGACAAACTTCACAATTTTTCGGTCGCAGAGATTATTCTAGACATTAATTATTGGACTAGTTATTTTACTGAAGTTTTCTTTATATTTGCAAAAAGTTATTCTAACGAAACTGCCCATTAATTAGCAAAATTTGGTTGTCTAAATAAAAATTATTTTTGTAATGGTTGTTTGTCCACCAAAATGGCTGCAGCATCAATTGTACCTTGCCAGTATTAATTTTTAATAAAATTCTATCTTCTTAATATTAAAAGAGGAGTACAAAATTGAAAATTGAAAACTTTGGTAAAAAATTTCCGAATTTAGCCTTTAATTTAACATGAAGGAGAGCCTTTTCTAAAATCAACAAGGGTTAATTAGT